AGCTGGCTGGCACTGTGCCATCTTGGTACCCTCAGCAGCAACCGTAAAGCATCATTGTATGCAACTTTTAGTTTTTGTATGCTTCCAGCCTTGTAGTTACTCCACAGGTGAGCCGTGTACAACGGAGTACAGAAAGCTTTAAAAGGTGATACCTTGACATCTACAGAGCACTTGTGAAATTTTCGCATGACTTTGTTTGCCTGGCCATACAGTTTGCAAAGTTGTCTATGGATGTCTTTGTCATCTGTGAGATCATCAGAAATATAATGACCAAGGTACTTAATCTCACTGCACACAAGTAGAATGTTGCTACTGAGAATACAATTAGGAAATACAGCCTTTTTATCCTCTTTACTTCGCACAATCATGATGCTACTCTTCTTGGCGTTATACTTAATATTAAAATCAATGCCATACTGGGAACAAGTCCTCAGAAGCTGTTGTAAGCCAGCACTGCATGGGGAGAAGATGATTAAATCATCAGCGTACATAAGGTGGTTGACAACAGTAGCACCGATGACAAATTCAGTTTTAGAAAAGTTCAGTTTCCTAGACAGATCATCCATGTACAGATTAAACAACAAAGGAGATAAAATCCCACCTTGCTTGACCCCATTACCAACATAAAAATGTTCAGACACAGTATTGCCCCACTTCACCTGCATAGTCTGATGTGCATACCAAAAGGCTAAGATCCTTATTATGTACTTGTGTACCCCTCTCTGGCACATTTTGTCAAATAATTTGTAATGATTCAGTCTATCAAATGCCCTGGAAGCATCAATAAAACACAGAAACATGGTGGAATTATGGCTTCTATATTTTGCTATAATGTCTTTCAAAGCAAAAATACACATATCTGTGCCATGTTTTCTTTTAAAACCAAACTGTTGTCAGCTGTGGTAATATACCTTTCCAGCCTATCCAACATAATTCTCTCCAACACTTTGGATAGAATGCTAGCTAAAGCAATGGGTCTGTAATTATCAATGCCATTACTTTTCCCAGCTTTATCCTTGATGACTGGCACAAGTAGCACAGATAACATGGAATCTGGTAAGACACCATGATTAAGGAAACCAGTAAGACACAGAGCAAGAAGAGGAACAAGCTTAATAACAATATCATATTACTATAGGAGTGTTCTATAGTGTGGTCAAAAAACAACTACAGAAACACTATATATTATACTATAGTTATACTATTTAAAATAATATAGGAATACTACAAAGATCTAGATACATAGTATTACTATTGAAATATTATAGGGCTATAGCTAGTAAAATGGCACTACAGAAAAGGCTATAGTAATACGATAGCTGGGGGAAAATACTATAGAACACTACAAACTTACTATAGGATACTATACACCTCTTATAGTATACTATAGTAATACTATAGTTCCTTTTCGTAAGGGAGAACCTGTATTTAACTATTTACCCATCCAAGTATTTCTAAAAGTGACACAGATAGCCTGTCGATGAGAAGAAGCAGTAAAGTTGCCCTGACAAAAACTCAGTAAGTCTTCTGTTATATGTGTACAGTGCCTCTGTACTATTGTGATGTGCCTAATGTCCATAACTTGCTGTATCTTGAAATTATCTTAGAGTTGAAAAATGTAAATATTGTGTTTACATTATTCTAAAATTATTCAAACAATATATGTATTAAAATAACACAGGTCCATTTGCATTCCTGCAGGAGGTTATTGTGAACTCATGGCGTCAGTGAACAACCACAGAGGCAGTCAAAAATGAAGTCCTTTCGGTCAGTAGTCATGAGCTCTAAACTAGCTCTGAAATGTTGGAGTGGCCCCAGAGCCCCCGGCCACACAGACACACACCAGCTCATCTGCTGGTCCTCACTTTGTCCCAGCCCGGTTTACTGGACATTATTTTGCAGCGAAATGCCCCCCATAGGACAGCTAACTGGATTACAAGCTCTGACTGCAGCTAAATGAGATTCTAGGTAAAACAACTCTTTTTTTCATGACTAACCCTTAATGTGTCTACAAGTAGTTTCACGTTACAGTTTGAATAACAGCTCTAATGTATGTTTTACAGCTTGGACAAGCCAATAGGCTCATGTTAGCCAAACTTAACATTTAAAGATGCTTATTTACTATAAACTGAATAACTTTGTAGATAATTTAGGGTTGCAGCATTTGAGATTTGTGTTGATCAGTATTTGCACATAATAGTCTGGCTTTGAATATTTTCTCTAATCTTAGGTTTATTTAACTCAGTTTATGAGCAGTACAATTTGAACAATTAACCAAGAACTTCACAGCATGTATGGTTAGAAGGATGCGCGATTGCAACATATCAAACAGGTGCATTTTGCTACTGCTATAATTAGCTTTGTTTAAGCACTTTATCACTTAGTGTTACTTTGTTTTTCAAGAATGAAAATGTTGCTAAGGGGAAACCTGAGGAGTGGATTGGGGATTTGCCTTCTGTTGTTGGCTCTCTCACACGAGGCCACAGGACAGAGAAGAAAGAAAGGACGCAGGAACAACAACAGACTGCATGAAGATGGAGGAAATGGTAATTATTTATATGATGTATACAATTTTGGTGGTGAAGGTCGGTCAATAGATCCTGATGTTGTAAAAGAGAAAGTTAGTAGGATCAGACATTCAACATCCACAGCTCAAGATACACAGCTTAAAGGTCCCCTATTATAATGTTTTTCATCAAGATATTATAGGTCTCAGATATATACAAACATGTCTCTGAAGTCTTTGGCTCGAAATAACAAACAGATAATGCATTGTAGCATCCCATAATCCCCTCTGTTTCAGCCCTGTTTCAAAAGTGCTGATTCTTTGTCGGTTACTTTAGATGAAAATAAGGAGCCACTCCCCACGCCCCTCTGAGAGATATTTGGTTAAAAATAGATTCAGGTGATAAGGTGGGGGGGGGGGTTACCTTGGTTGGTGATTGGCTAATGGTTACACAAGCCAAAAAATCGTTATGACATCATAAAGTGGCCAACATCTGATTAGCTCATTTTCACAGTTTTCACAGTTTTTTATATAAATGGATCAGGACAAAAAGTGAGCGAAGGTTTTTTCCTGAAACTTTCAGAATCTCTTTAAACATAGTCCCACATGTTTATGTATAAAAGACATGAAAAAGTGGATTTTGCATAATAGGTGACCCTTAAATCATAAATAGGAAGATTTTTGTCTGGATGGCATATGTTGGGAATCACATGAATATGGACATCACCCTCTTGTATTTCTATTCAACGTTAGGTTTGTCTGAAGGGATCCGTGCAGGTACAACCTTCAGAACCTTTTATCATCCCCAACAGTATTTTACAGTACAGTATTTTACAGGTTTTGTTGTCGAACTCCTTCTCTCACAGGTCTGACGTGTTCACTGGAGGTGGCGTTCATTCTGGACAGCTCGGAGAGTGCAAAGATATACCTGTTTGAGAAGCAGAAAGCTTTCGTGCTGAGCTTCAGCACTCGCCTCTCCATGACTCAAATAGACGGCTGGACGCTGAAGATGAGATTGGCAGCTCTTCAGTACAGCAGCTTTGTGTCCATGGAGCACCGGTTCTCAGCCTGGAGAGACCTGGATTCATTTCACAATCAAGTAAATGCCATGAACTACATCGGCCACGGCACCTACACCACCTACGCCATCACCAACGTCTCGCAGCTGCTGGTGGAGGAGACGCCGGCCGACAGCGTCAGAGTTGCAGTGCTGATGACTGACGGTGTGGACCACCCCCGGAGCCCTGATGTGATCGCAGCTGCAGCAGAGGCCAAAGGTCACGGGATAAAGTTCTTCGCTGTGGGTTTATCAGACATCGGCCAGCAGAGTAAGAATAACGCCAAGCTCCGGGCCATCGCCAGCACACCTGCTCAGCAGTTTGTCCAAAGTCTTCTCGATCCTCAGCTGGAGGAGAAGCTGATCAAGGAGATGGTGAGAGGTTACTGTGTGTGACTTTACAAATTGACATTTTACACAACATGGAAATGAGTTGGAACTTTCCTAACATAATAATTATCTAGTTTTTATTTGTTTAGATTTCTTAAATTGTATGATTTTTAACTACTTTTTTAAGAATAAATACATTTGCTATCATGGCTGTTCCTTAAAGTAGTTTAACTTGTTCTCCCCTAGCTTTTTATATTTCTCTGTAGTTTTTGAAATACATTTTAGTTGCTTATAATCACTCTTTTGCCTAACAGTCTGCAGTCATCAATCACAACCAAATACGGCATATGATTTCATGTTATCTCTTGAAGGTGCACAAATCCCTGACATTACGTGCTGTTGCTTGGATTGAAACCACACTTTCTTCTTGGCCCTCCACATGGTTGAGGAGCACTGACAATCCTATGCACACCCAGCAGTCAATCACAGAGACAGTAGCATGCAAAGGGGTTTATGTTCCCCTTTTTATGAAGTGTATGTCCTCACAGCAAGTTCACTTCTCAGTGACACAGTGAACTTGCTTAGGGGGGCTTTCCCGCCTGCTTAGCATTTTCCACACACACAGAAATGTCAAATATCTGCAGTAGGTCAGAGGCTGTCTGAGAGAGTGGCAAGGCTTGTTCTGCTTTCAAGAAATGTGTGATATTATTCATTCACAATTATAGCTCGCAAGACAGACACAACATAGTGGTGAAAGAAGTCAATATCTAGTAAGGTTGATTTATATTTCCTGAGTGGACTGCCATTAACATTCTGTGTCTTTTGTTTTGAATCTAGGGTGCACTTGCCTATGAATGGGTGAGTTGTCCAATGCAATGCAGTATTTTGGTTCATTAATAACTGGTTTGTGAAGATGGATGAACTGACTTTTGCCTGTTCTCTCTTTTAGTGTCCAAAGGCTCAAGTGTGTATGTGTGAAAGAGGAGAAAGGGGCCTTCAAGGAAGTCAAGTGAGTTCCATACAAGAAGTGTAATTTCTTACCAAAAGTATGATAGTCATTCTGTATTCCCGCATCACAAACATGCATGGCATCATCTCTTCCTTTAGCATCTGACCAAGACTTAACAATTGCTAATTCCAGGGTAGAAAAGGGGACCCAGGCTACGCAGGGCCACCTGGTGTAAAAGGAGCGAGGGTAAGTCATCACACAAAGTCACAAACTATGTTAGTGTCTGATTTCATGCGATTCATTGTAAGCTGGTTTCTTCAAGGGGGAGTCTGGCTCCAACGGTCGACCTGGAGGTGATGGTCCAGAGGTAAAACAAAAAAAATGGTCTGAATTTAACAACAGACATTGTTATTATTAGAAGAAATTCAGATTTTACAACTTTCCAACATTTCACAGGGCCGTCCAGGTTATAAGGGCAACAAGGTGCGTGACAATTATCTTTTGCAACATCATTATCAGTTGTTTTCTTCTCTTGACATATATTGACAAGTCCTAAGAAATTCATCTTTGGTTTGGTCTTTTAGGGGGGGACAGGAGACTGTGGCACTCCTGGGGAGAAGGGTGACATTGTATGAACAGCATCAACAATATCATTTAAATCAATACCACAGAAAGGTATGTGGGTCTCTTGTAATGAATTGAGTGTCATTTCACAGGGACCTGAGGGACTTGCAGGCCAGCGAGGAACAAAAGGAGAACAGGTACAGCACATTTATAGTTGAACACTATAATGTAATGTTGTTGTGAACATTTTTGACTCTAGAAATATAGAAGTTTTGCAGAGAAATTCCAAATTTAGAGAAAAAAAAAATCCTAAACGTTTTTGATTTTAATATAAAATAAGGTAGAACTTATATTAACCCATAGGAAATTGTTGTGTTGCAAAAAAATGTAAACTGCAAAATAAATATGAAATAAATGAAGTGCCATCATAAGGTTAAACTTTAAATTGGTACAATACGTTTATTTGTGACAAAATACCTGCAAAATATTGAAAGCGGTATTTTGCCTTTTGCTAAATGCTTGACACTTCTATAGCGAACATGGAAAATATGATAGATGCTAAACATGTTAGCATTGTCACTGTGCGTATGTTAGCATGCTATAGTTAGCATTAAGGCAAGCAGCCTCAAAGAGCCTTAGTTTTTCATCATTTTTATAGATTTATAATATGATACATTAAATCACTTTATTATTTGTCAATGTATTCCACACCAGTTTAGCAGTAAAGGAGCAATTTCCTGGTTTTTTAAACTTTACAATGAGTCGACATAAGAAAATTCATTCTCTCTTAAATATGAAAAATGGAAGTGGAATTTGTCTCTCATTCATCTCTGCACTAATGGAATGTGAATATTGGTTTATGGGTAATCCTGATACTAATGTGGCTATCCAAAGCAGTGAATCCAGGCTTGCAGGATATTATTCTTCTGCAGGAACAGACTTTGTGTGGTGGGATTAGTGCACGGCCCTGGCCGACCAGCACTTCTCTTCCTCCTCTGTGCTACTGGCATAGTGTCTGTATGATCTTTCTTTTTGTGAGCTTGGCCGGAGAATTTAAAGACATGAAAGCTGAACATGTTGATTTTAGTGATTTCAGTGGTGTTGGCCCCCAGTTGTTTTGAGAAGACTACAGATAGATATGAGTGTTGTTAAAGCTAACATGTATGATGTATTGAGGGACTGTATAAGACTTTGAATATGTTTTGCAGGGAGTACTAGGATTTACAGGAGACGCAGGCCCTGAAGGACCAGCAGGACCCAAAGTAAGTTAACCCAAGCTCTTGAGATGCATTGACATTTATGGAATTGTAAACTCTGTCTGCTGTCATTTTCTCTGTGATAGTTCCTAACAGCAACAGTGGGATTTGCTGGATTTAATTCGCAGAGATTTCCAGACGTGACAACCCCTAGTGGTAGTAACAAAAAGATAGTGGCAGAAAGCAACATGCTGGAATTGTAGGGATCTGTTTTAGAGGATGAAGTCAGAATCCATATTTATTTTTTTTCAAGTTTTTACCAAAGATTTTTCTACTTATAATTTCTTTGAGAAATAAAGTTATTTGCTTTCTTGATGATAGTAAACTGTTTCATAAACACACATTCCAAAATGCAGAGCAGTCAGTTACATCATGATTATGGTCAACCAAAGGATTTAGTCATTTAAGATCCTTTTGTAATTTGGTGATATTTTTTCAATAGTTCAGCTTTCCCAGGTCACTTTCCCACGTATTGTTTTGTGAGATAGAAACAACCTGTATGTGTGCCCAGGGCTAATGAGATGCAGAAGGCTTCATCACCATATCTGTCCCAAAGCTTCTTAACAAAGATGTATTTATACAGATCAAATGTAATATCATTTATAGCACATCTAGAAAAAGTACAGACATTAGCCAAGTTTTACAGAAGGAACAAAGGACTGGTATTTATTTCCGAAATGCCACAAAATGTTGAATGCAGACTTAGATTTGTTTGTATTATACCATATTTATTAAATGAATACTGTAAACAAATATATATTTTAGTGCAGACAGAGGTATCTGTTAACTTATTTGCATTTATCTAACAACTCTTTGAACTGCCATCATGTGACATGCAAATCTCTGAACCTGTTTCCTTGCCACAGGGCGACCGAGGGCCCAACGGTGCTGCAGGACCAACGGGTGACATTGGTATTGGATTTCCTGGAGCCAAGGTAACACTTTTTAATCAACATCACCTATTAAACATCGTCTATAGTCATAAAATCTTCATAAAACAAATGTATGACTAAATATCTTCAGGGTACGTTTTTCTTACATAATGTAATACATGATGTCCATATGTAAATGCCACGATGGGGTAAATTCTCTTTGTAATTCTCACTGGAGTTACAGAACATTTAAGGACAACTCAAGCAGCCACAAGTATTGTTGGATTAGATAAACCTTAATAAAGCTGCTTTCCCCTATAACACACATCTAATAAGGGCAGGGGCGGACTGGCCTCCGGGACGTTCGGAACGAAACCCGATCGGACGATATGGGCCGGTCGGATAAGTCACTAGCACCC